CGTAGCCAGACATCCCGCGTCTTCGAATAAAACTAGACGATTCGAACATCCACGGGATCCGCTCGGATCCAGAATACACAGGCGATGCCTTACGTAAACGGCGTTACGCGATGCAAAAAGTGCGCGGCTGCCGCGGGAAGAAAAAGAATGTAAGGATAAATCGGGTTTACTACGTGCAGCGAGCGTTCTTATCCGAGATCATTCTAATTACTTCCACGTAGATCGCGCGATTTTTCGCTCGTCCGGTGATATCGTCGCGATCGGGGATGACGATACGGAAATTAAACGATTAAGATATAACGACGTTTCCTGTGTTAATGCAATTTCGAGACGCAATAATCACACCGAATTACAAACTTTTTCTCTGATCCATTTATCCTGTTTTATTTATTTATTTAGTCTATTTGTTTATCTTTATTTATCCTCGATATGCTTTTTAAAACTTCTCTCGCAGGGGTCTCGATAATTTTGTGCGCGGAGAAAAATAATGTTGCTGTTGCAGCAAAGTCGCGCCTGGAAGGTAGAAGATTAGCTTCAACGGATAAATTAATTGTAACATGTGGCCGCCTATAATTTCAACGGCGTAAACGATTTTAATTACTACATCAACAAGTTTTTTCGCTGCTGCAGCAAAATAGTTTGTTATTGTAGCAAAAGGCTTTTACTGCAACGATTAAAGTTGTTTACACTGCTGATGTTTTCTGCTGTCCATATATTACAACTAATTATTACTGCTGTATTAATTTTCTTTCCTTGGCACACACATCGTTGTTACTACATATCCGTTGCGACAGCGATACAATTTGATCGGCATAGCCAAATTAACAACTTGAATAAATTACCAACTTAGCAAACGCAATTAGAGCAGGAACGATGTTGTTGCCACGATAGAAAATTTCTGCCGAGTGAACTTGTCCTTAGGACACGTCTAATTTGCCGTTGAAACAAATTAGCGTTTTCCTCCATTCACTAATTTGTTCTTACAGCGAAGTAAGTCGCAGATTCAACAAGATAATCCAGCGAATGGCATTTGGTACTCTTAACGAATCGTTTTGGTGTCTGCATAATAACTGGCAGACGTTGCCGCAAAATTCGCATACATTAGCATGCGCGCTCATCGCGGGCGAAAATTTTCAATCGAAATTATCCGACGAACTGTAACCTCCGGAAAATCGTCGCGCGGTCTTTATCGGAGCGATCAGGTTCAGAGTAATGCACGGGAAAATACATTATTGAGAGCCGAGACATACGCAGAGCCGGGGAGGAAAAACAACATGGAGCTCGGAATAGAACTTCGCATGGTCGTTGCATTGTTAGACGCGGCTTGAAAGGAGGACTGCATACGGAAAACCTCGTCTGAATAGCCGATCATTCTCGCCGAAACGTGGATGTGACGCGGCACGCTAATAATAAGCTCACTAAGTATCGCGCCGGTCAGCTCGAGCGTTTACACGCAATTACGCGAATTTGCGTGCGATTCGCATCCGCTAACGCCGCCGGCAAACAAACATCCGCACGTCATTTACGGGACTAATTCGCACGCGGTGGATGAGGTCCGCAAATGGATCGCGGGAACATGCGTGCGCGTCTCGCCGCCTCCGAAATCTCTGCGTTCTCGATGTTGAGAACTTGAAGAAGCCTCGAGCGACCAAATATAAAATAAACCTGTAATATGTACATGATGTAAAAGTGAATCGAACCAACAATGCGTAACGGAAATTTCCTTAATCTTTACTATATCGTTTCCGAGGTATTTAATTAGAAATTTGTGTACGTGCAAGCATAGAAACTTAAAAGAAGCACTGAATTTCTACTAATTTGACATTATTTGCGTATAAGATGGAATTTTTTAAAACTAATTTGTAATTATTATATTATAGATAAATTTCGGAATTATTGACCGTTTTATTTTGAAAACACAGTGATGGAAAATTTGTTATTTATACACGAGAAAAGTCTAATTGCAGTAACCAAATGCGTCTGGGTTGAAGAAAACAGAGTTTCTAGTTATAAGAACAACCATTTGGGTCATAATAACTAGACATTCTGTTTCCTTCGACTAAAACACATCTGGTTGTTTTTTTTCCTGATTAATGCAACCAGACTTTTTTTCCGTGTAGTGATATTGGAAATGTATATACACATATATTTAAGTACTTATATACTTCTTTCTATTATCTGTGCATTTCTATTAGATCAATTGATGCACAAATACAGCATTAAGAATAAGAAAAATAATCAATTTCCATATTTGAAATATTATATATATATCTACCTCAGCTTCGTTACAAATTAACTCTAGTTTTAAAGTTTCGAAAAGAAAACATTTTTTCCTCATTTTTCCGCAGATTTTTTTTTGTTTCATATCTTCTTTACGGAAAAAAGAAAAAGGGCGGGTTTTAATCGAACATTCGCGAATTTTTCTAAGCAAATTTTTGTACCCTGGGGGCGGAAACCGAAGAAATCCGTGGAAATAGGGGAAAAACGTTTTTTTCTGAAACTTTAAAACCATAAAATTAATATTTATTGTTTGGTTAGTAAAATAAATGTATAGAAAGGAGATTTTGCTTGATACGTAGTAAATTTATAAAAGGCCCTCTTGATGCGCCATTAGAAATACGGTTTATTTAGAGCCTTCTAATTTCACTCTGACGGGGTTCATCCCGCGAGGTCGATCCGTTTTCTTTGCTTCGCGAACACCTCAATTAATTCTTCGAAGCGATCTCTCGCTTTAAAGAATATTGAACGCCTAACGGAAGCTCGGAGGCTCGTTTCCTTTTATCCGTTGTTTTTCCCGTTTTTTCTCTTCTCTTTTCAAGAAAGAGAGAGAAACTCCTTTGGTAACGCGCGCGATCGCGTCTTTCGGAATCGAGCGAAAATCTCCCACGTCGGAGATATCGAGGCCTGATGAATAAGTAACATCTGATACATTTTAATGCGCGCGATAAATAATTAAATAATTTCCACGACGCTCCACATCTCGACGCGTCTCGGCCGATCCAGATATCGGCTTTATTATTTGATCTGACGAGCAGATACCCACTGCTCGCTGTGATTAATAGATCTTATCTGTGTGTAAAAAACTGGTATAATTACGCCGACGTTACATTATATAATCCAGCCGACAGCTGCGTGGATCCGTCTGCAGTTTCCCGGTGCGGATTCGCGCGAATTTATCATGCCCGTTTAAACTCAACGAGTCGTCGCCGCCGGATGATTCGCCGGGGACGACTCGCTCCTTCCCCGCGTTAGACAGCCTGAAACAAACGTCCCGTAATTAATCCCCGCATAATTTCGCCTGCCGATTGACGCAGCCTCGTTCCGCCCGCTCACGCTTGCACTTATCAGCCAGCAAACGTCGTGGCCACAATGTTGCTCGCGCCGAACGACCCGATACCGAACGGTACTCGTTCATCATTGGAAGCTCGTCGAATCCCCGCGAGATAATAGCTGTTCGCGTGACAAGGCGGCAAATTCTGCAATGTAATCTAACGCAACGACGGCTCATAGAGCCGGGGG